GGTGTTCAGAGAAATATAACTTCCAGAGAAAATTACCAATGACATAGAAAATTATAATAAATAAAAATTTCTCTGAGTTATGTTGACACAAGGACATAACTTTTTGTGGCTCAAGATTTTCACTGACCTTGCGGTTGAAGTTGTGTTGGTGTTCGGTATGGTTGTGTTGCTAGTTGGACGGATAGTTCTTGAACTTGTTCATGCAATTTAGCATTTTCAGTTTCAAGCTCCGAATTTGAATACCTCAACTGTTGAATTGTTTTTGTATCGTCTTCTTTTTGAACCTCCAACATCCTTAGTTTCATTTGGATTGTGTTGTCTTTTTCTTGAAGTTCTGAGTTAAGTGATGTCAAGGTTCTTATTGCAATATCCTTTTCAGCAGGTAATTCAATCCAATTTCTCTCTTCTTCTTTTTTAGATTGAGAAAGTGCCTTTAGTCTTTGACGTAGATCAACAATTTGGGCATCCTTTGATTCCTCAGATTCTTAAGGCTGATGCATTGTTGAGCCACAAATGCTATCACGTTGTTGGTCCATCGGCTCATTACGTTCTTCTTCATCACTTTCCTTATTGTTTTCTTCTTGCTGTTCATCTTCTTCTTCACTGTCTTCTTCTTTCTGTTCATTTTGTTCTTTGTCTTCTGCTTCTATTTCTTCACTTTCTTCTCTGGCTTCTGCTTCTCCACTGCTTGCTTGATCTTCTTGTCCATTGGTGGCTTCGTATTCTTCTATGTTGCCTTCTGCTTCTTCATTCCCTCATTCTTCAGATGGATCTTGTAATGTCTCCTTGAATTTGACAATTGCCTTTTTTTGATTCTTTCTTCCTCTTTTTAGCAAGACAGAACTCCTCTGATGGGTTTTTGACTAGCTGTTTGTTATCTATCTGTAACAGGAGGCTCTTTTATTAGAGAAATGTTACAAAATTCACTGAGAGAAAAAATTCAGATAAGGAAAATAAAATTCATCTAAATGATACTAATGGGAAACAAACTTCAGAGAAAATTGTATGGGCCAGAGAAAATTAGAGACAAGGAGTTAATTTTATGAGGCAGAGAAAATTATGAAACAAGCAACATAATTTAGATATCAGAGAAAATCAATCAAGGCATATAAGTTAATGTTTGACTATAATTGTGTCAGAGAAATTTGGATTCCAGAGAAAATTCATTAGAATGGTAGAAATAAATAGTGTTTATCAAAGATGCAAGGCACATAAGTTATGGGCCAGAGAAAATTACACACAAGGAGATAAAATTTTATGGGCCAGAGAAAATTATGAAACAACCAACATAATTCAGATATTAGAGAAAATCAATCAGGGCATATAAGTTAATATGTTACAATTGTGGTCAGAGAAATTTGGATTGCAGAGAAAATTGATTAGAATGGCAGAAATAAACCAGTGGTAACCAAAGAAGAAAACATAAGTTGATAGTTCAGAGAAAATTGATCTTAATCAATCAATGCACAAGGAGGGAAACAAAGCAGTGGTCAGAGAAATTTTGAAATTTCATTGAGATTTCAGTAGCGATTAAAATCTAACCTGTCGAGGTGCAAGAGAGTGGACTGATGTCTTCTGCAGCTATTTCGTCAAGGTTTGCAGGTTCCACTTGGCACATCTTGGGAAGTTAGTTGTGTTACTGTCTTCCGAGTCAATGATATTTGCATGTTCACATAGCCAATACTGCGATGAAAATTAAAGTAATTAAATTTTTCTAAACGCACAAATTTGTAAGTATGATAACTGCAAATTTGAATGGATATTATACTTACCAGCAATGTAATGACACACCCCGTAACTTTTTCAGGAGTTTTGTGCAATGCTATGATAGAATCAATCAATGTTGATGTGATTGCTTCTGGCCAATCATATTGTTTCATTGATTCAAGAGGTTCCACATACTTTATAAAACCCACCCTATTGAATTCCCACTTGTTACAAAAAATAGGGTAAGACACAAGTACAATGTAACAATGATTGCTACATCTTTAAAGTTAGTTGGTTGCTTGCTTTTCATTGCTTTGACCAAGGCATTTTTAAGAACAGGACCAGTGAGCCTTGTGTCCTTTTGGAATCTTCTCCTTAGGAATGCAGATTTTGGCTTTTTAGAGTATCTTAATGACATGGCTTCTTTACCTCCTTGCAAACCAAAAATCAAGATCATGTCATTTGTTGTAAAGGTCAAGTTCCTTTTACCAACTGTGAATGCTTTTGTTTTTTCATTGTAACATTGGATTATTGCAACTACATCATCATCAGATTTCCTAGATTTCTTTGGATCTATCCTTCCAGTGGTTAGAGCTTGGATCAAATACCAGAATGGAGTCTTTTGAAGCTCTACAAGTTGGTTTAAATTGAATTTAAGTGTTTGAAAAAAGGAGACAACAGATGAGAGGTTGGATCGGTATTGAATGCTATAGTGAGTTCTCTTTCTTTGGAGTTTAACAGATTTTTTCCCCTTGAGCTTGAGTCTTTTGAAGTTGGGGTACTTATCTGGATGCTAGTTGCTTCATCACCTTGGACTTGTGTGTTTTGGCGAGGAGTTTGTGGTGTTTTGCTGCTGGTTTTATATCTTAGATCATAAGAAGACTGAAATAGTTGTTCTTTCTTGCTTGGTGTTTCCAGTGTTTTGCTGCTGGTTTTTTATCTTAGCTCATAAGAAGACTGAGAGAGTTTCTGTTTCTTGCTTGGTGTTTCCGGTGTTTTGCTGCTTTTACGTTTTGCTATTTCTAGACAATGATTAAAACATAAAGATGTCAACATTAAATCCCAGAGAAAATTGAACATGCCAGAGAAAATTGGACAAGCCAGAGAAAATTATAGATAAGAGAAAATTTGAGATGTCAGAGAAAATTTCAGATAAGGAAAAATTATAGAAAATTGGACATGCCAAAGAAGTTTGGACATTAAAAATTAAATGTCAGAGAAAATCAACAAAGCATCATAAACATGAGAGATAAATTTTCAATAATTGTTAAAATTACATATAGAAGTAAACATACTAGAGAAAATGAATGACAGAGAAAAGTAAACATGGCAAGCCAAAGAAAATTTTCATTCCACAATTAGCAAGATAAAATAAACAAAGTAATGTAAACATGACACTGAAAATTACACCACATTGAAACCAAGAATTGAACAAAATAAACATATCAGAGAAAAATACACATTCCGGAGAAAATTACACATTCTTGAGGAAATTTCCATTCCAGAGAAAATTTCAATTCATAATATTAAAATGCCAGAGAAATTTACATACACAACCAGAGAAAATTAACCATGATAGAGACACGCAAGGGAGGAAAGTGATGTGATGTGGTTAGAGAAAATTATAAACACCAGAGAAACTTAGACAGAGACAAGAGAGTAATAGACATTCCATAGAAAAATATATATTCTAGAGAAATTTACAAAGCAGAGAAATTCATAGACAAAATCACAGAAATATGTTCAAGAATAAGATCAAAACACAGAAAAATAATTTTTTTTCAAAATACACATGTTAGAGAAAATTCAAATAAGAAACATTCATTCCAGTCCATAATATTAAAATGCCAGAGAAAATTAAACATGATAGAGACACACAAGGGAAAAAAGTGATGTGATGTGATCAGAGAAAATTATAAATACCAAAGAAATTTAGACAGAGACAAGAGAGTAATAGACATTCCAAAAAAAGATAGACATTCCAATTAAAAATATATATTACAGAGAAATTTATAGAGCAGAGAAATTTATAGACAAAATCACATAAACATGTGAAAAATAAGATGAAAACACAGAAAATTACTTTTTTCAAAATAAAAATGCCAGAGAAAATTGAAAGAAGAAACATACATCAAGCAAAAACCAGAGAAATTCAAATGCCAGAGAAATTTACAGATAAAATTACACAAACATGTTCAAGAATAAGTTCAAAACACACAGAAATAACTTTTTTCAAATTCAGGTACCTTTTTATTACGAAATTGAAACCCTAATTTATGGAAGGGTAATATAAAATACAATTAACTGTGTTTCCAGAGAAAATCTGGTTGTATTGTATAAAAACTTACCAGAGTTAGGATGAAACTTGAATGACGAGCTGATATGGCCTGAGATGAAGATGCGACGTGACGAAGATGAACTGAGATGGCGATGAACGATGAACAGTAAAAACAAGGTCAGAGAAATTTGTGAGAAAGGAATGGAAATGATTTTTGCAGAAGATAACGAAACTCTAATGTCGATGGTGAAGATGATATTGAAACCCTAGTTCTGCTGGTCTCTTGTTCGTGAAGATGCTGGATGCTTGGAATGGAACTCAGACGTCGAAATGAGTTTCGTTTCTGTGTTGATTTTGAGAAGGGTATTTTAGTCCACAAAATAATTAAAAACATGTGCCAAGTTGTTCAGGGACCTGATGCATCACTATTTTTTTTTTGGTGTCCTTTATCCTCTAAATTATTATTATTAGGGACCTTAAAACAAATTTCCTAAAAAAATATCATAACTAGATGTGTATATGATACACCCTTTCAAGAATGTGTATATTAGAATTTCGCTTTTGTTAAGGAACAAAGTTGTAATAAAAAGAACCAAAAAATATCAGCCATAAGAGCATCTCTAACCCTCGCCAATTTTATCATCTAATTTAATTTTAAATTTGAGTAAAAATTTTAATTTAATATAAACTATTTTAATCTTTTTTACTAAATTTTTATTAAAATCTTTTAAAAAATTCCCGTTCTTATCCCAAATTTTATTTTTCATTAAATTTGATGAGAAAAAAAATTTAAATTCTTCATCTCCTTAAATTTTCATCAAATTCAAATTTATTATGAAAAAGAAGACACTTTCTTAATTTAATGAATATTTAATGATAGAATGCAAAAAAAAAAAAATTGAACACTTTTCTATCAAATTTAAATTCAATGAAAGAAAATGTAAAAGATTGGAGATACTATAACGAACTAAAATGATGGTGGAACTGGAATTACTCAATACTATTTTTGTCATGCTTTTTCCTTTTTCCTTTTTCCAAGAATGACATTTAATAACCCTCACATCGAAAAGCAGTTTTATTCATCATTTCAGGAGCCAATGATCACACGCAAACACACCATTGCATGTTTCTCATATATTGACAACAAAGTTACATACATACTGAACCTATGAATCTCAAGAGCCACCAATCATTCATTCATTCGATCTCTATCTGTTGTGGGCTTTCTTCTTCTGGTTTGGCTCCAAATTCAGTATCAATTTCATCCTCTGTAATCCCAGAGGCTTCCACTGTCCTTCCAACCCATTCCTTAAGTGGATCTTCGTTCAAATCAAGCCTCAGAAGCCCAGCAAACATACCCCCCATGAAGGCCACAGGCTCCTAAAAAAGAGTAAGCATAATTTAAATTTGTAATAATAATAATAATGATAATCAAATGAAGATGTTAGAGTGTCTCTTACACCTCTTCTTTCATCAAATTTAAATTTGATAAAAAAAGTAAAGATTTTGTTGCTACAACCTTCTCATCAAACCAATATCACATCCAGGATATCTTAAAGTTTTCATCAAATTGAGGATGGTTATTCCTTTCATCAATTAACTGTTCATAGTCGTTGAATATGCAGGGCATACACCATCACCAGACTACCGGCCGGTTGTCCCTCCGGTCAACCACCTTCTTGCAAAATTTATGGAAAAATTACACTGGTCGGTTGACCGGCTGGACATCCCCCCAGTTGTCCTCCCGGTCGAACGGTAGTTTGATGAAATTCTAAATTGTTTCGTTAGAACGTGCAATATCAGATGAAACTTTTACTCAAATTTAATGGGAAAAAAAAAAGATTATACGTCATAATACAAAGCAATAATCATTTAAAAAGTCCGAATGAAAGATGATGATCCAAAAAAAGATTATCCCATAAAAGTAATTTTTAGATATATTACTAAATAGGGGTGGCAAGAGCCAGACGGCCCGACCAACCCATTCCGGCCCAACTTGATTATTATTATATATTATATAAGGGTGGACAATAATGCCATGCCCAAATATTATCCCGCCACCCAAATATTATCCACATTGAGTTCACCAGAGCTAGCACAACCCTAAGTTTTCCTAGTTCTCTCATACATCATTAGAATAGACTCAAGAAAGAATAATACTTCATGAATAAGTTCAAATACCTCAAAATAATCTTCCGGTAAAATTGTGAAAAGAATTTCATTTCAAAGGTCATGCAGCGGTTTATAGTTCAGCAATAAATGAGTAAAGTATGCAAAATTTCTCTGTGAAACTGCATAAAGTACAATGGCCATGGGCAAGGTACCACAAACACTGACATGCGACACGAAACAAAAACGCCGACATGTGAATTTTCCGAAAATGCATTACAGGACATGTGAGGACACACAAAATATATAGTTTTATATATTTATTATATGTCATATATATTGATACATCACCCAAAGATAGTATAAAATGCAGCATAACATCAATTCCTATAATGTCAAATTGTTTTTCTTTATTGTATCCCAAGTTATAATTAGTTTCATGTCTGTCTAAGCGACGGACACTTACGTCCCCAAGTGTCCAAAATGCGTATGGTTTTCAAACCAAAAAAAAATAGAACAAGTTTGGACAAGTGTCCGAAAAGTGGTGTTGTTCGACACAGACACACCACCTCCTTGGAAATGTCCGTGCTTTTTAGACAATGGGATAGATTCCTCACTAGTAAAAGAAAATACAATTTTGGTAAATGCTACATCATTATCTATTGCAGTTAGAACTCGGAAGAAAATAAAAATTTACTTACCTTTGGGTAGTTAAGGGTTATATCGAAACATGATAGTGCTTGAAGGTGCAGTAAGAGTGAGAGTTTGTATTTATAGAAAATGAAGGAGAAGAGAAGACAAAAACTATTACAGTGAAATACATCTCTACATGTTAGTAAAATTTATTGTCTACCAGTTTTTAATGGGCAAGGAAGTAGGAAATAAAAACAGGTAGTTTATATATTTTAAGCATTGTTAATCCAACATCAAAAGGAAAGGTCAAATAAATAATTGTGACTTCACATGTAATGATCCAACACAAGCCTTCAATGGACAAAAGTGGTGATATACAGTAATGAAGATCCAATTTACAAATCAAGAAAGTTGTTTTGGTTCGGTTGTCATTAAGAAGAAGAGTGCACAGATGTCATTAAGAAAAAGTGTAGATATGATTAACAAGAAGACACCCAGGAACACAACTTTATGCAAAATATCAAATTGTATTCTCATACCAAAAGCCAGTCTTATTTATGGAAGCTCATCTATTTTCCTATCTTTTCAAGTTTTGACGAAATGAGCAACACATAGACATCAAATTCAGAAGAGCATTTACCACATTAGCAGCAAGCTTGGGCATCCATCAGTAGATTATTAGTAAATTAGAAGAAAACCAAAATATCAATTGACTGATAAAACTTATATAAACCAAGGCTTAAGTCCCATCAAATGGGGTCGGCCGCATGAATTCTTCTTCTCTACTCGACTTTATCCAAAGCTATTTCGTTAGTCAAATTAAAAAGATTCATATTTCTATTTAGTACACTAGTCCACATCAATATAGGTCTACCACTTCCCCTAACATTACCATCTACCGTCATTATATCGCATCTCCTCACTACTGTCTCTGTTGGTCTCCATTGTATATGACCAAACCATCTCAATCTATTCTCTCTCAACTTATCTTCTATTGGTATTATTCCTATTCATTCTCGAATATACTCATTCCTAACTATATTTTATCTAGTCTTGCCACACATCCACCTTAAAATCTTCATCTCATCAACACTGATCTTATCTACATATTGTTTTTTAGTTACCCAACATTCCGTCCTATACAACATCGCTGGTCTAATAGCCGTTCTATAGAACTTCTTTTTTAGTCTAATGGGTATTCGTTTATCGCACAGTACTCCAGACGCACTCCTCCACTTATGCCACCCCACCTTAATTCTGTGAACCGCATCCACTCTAATCTCCCTAGTCGTTGTGATAATCGATCCTAAATGATGAAAATGTTCACTCTTAGATAGTTATTGGTTCTCAATCTTTACATCTCCTCTGCTTCCATTGTGACTATTACTAAAATTACACTCTGTATACTCTATCTTAGTTCTGCTTATCCTAAATTATTTAGATTCAAGTGTTTTTTTTCAAAATCTCTAACTTAGTGTTAACTCATTCTCTAGTCTCATCCACTAACACGATATCATCTACAAAAAGTATACACCATGGCACGTCATCCTGAATATTGCGCGTCAACTCATCCATAACTAAAGTAAAAAGATAAGGACTTAAGATTGATCCTCGGTGCAACCTTATAGTAATTGAAAATTCACTTGTCTCTCCAACAGGCGATCTAATAGTAACCACTGGCCACTGCAGCTTCATACATATCTCTAATCACATCAATGCAAACTTTTGTAATCCCTTTCTTCTCCAACACTCACCAGAAACCTGGATAAAACCCATATATATAGATATATATCAAGAAAAAGTATGAGATTGCATCCCTTGAAGGAGATAAACAAGTGAAACATTGGGGACATCAAACATGCAACAATGTGGGTTGCTATAATCCTATTACTATTGCAAGTTGCAACAAAGAGAGAGGACAACATGAGTGTCGGTTCACCTTTATCTAGAAAAGCTAGGTACCCTCCCAAAATAAGATTTTAATTGAAGTAACTGACTCAGTAACAAACACATAAAAATCAATTGGGTTTCCCAGGCAACAAAATAAAATAAAATCCCAGGATAGGTTTACTTTCCGGGCTTTCCTCAGCAACCAAACGGAATATTAAGATTCAAATTTACAATCACTACAAATTCAGTCCATGCTCAAAGAGTTAATTTTTTATTTTATTTGAAAAAAAAAGGACGAAAAAAAAGAGGAGATGGATGAGAAAGGGATTAATTACCTTAAGAGCTTCTTTGAGAATGGGTTCATCTTTGGGATTAAAGAAAAATGCTTCAACATTCCGAGTGGGACGCTGCTGCTTTGGAAATGATGAAACTGGCGATGATGATGACCACAGTTGTTGTCTCACACCAACAACCTTCAATTTCCACTGTTAAAAAAAAAATTATTAATTAATCAACAAGCATAACTAACAAAATTTGGGAAAGGAAAGAAGAAGAAGAATTGTTGAGGAAATAGTATGAACAACATCAAAGATTGGAGAGAGAATAGGGCTTACGAGTGCACAATTTGGGGTAGAAGAGAGAATGAAAGACATATCTCTCTATCTATCTATCTCTCTTAAATGTCAAAAACAATACGACGAGCGAGAGGCTCCTGCGGATGGAGAGAGATGCTCTGCTGAATTTGGTACTTTCTAGGCTCCACAAACAATTCAATTAAACATTGTGATTAGGTCCTCACTTTTAGGACATGTTTGGTTCAGGTTTTTCAGCTGCTTAATTTTTTAAATTTGTATTTTAAGAATGAAAATCATTAGAGCATCTCTCACTTTTCTCCCTCTAATTTTTTCTTTTTTTCTTTTTCCCATCAAATATAAGTCATTTCATGATAATTAAAATTTGGAAAAATTATTGATAAATTCTATTTAGAAGTGTTTTAACCTAAGAAGTCCATGAAGGAATTTTTTAACCCATTTAGTCCCATGTATGTATAGTTTTATTCTATAAAGTCTTTTTTCTTGATTTACACTATTTTCTTGGACACTTATGCCCTTATATTTAATTTTGATACCCTTATAAATATTTTTTGAACGGTTAGCAATTTTATGATGTGAACATTCATATTTTAAAATTTACATTGGTAGGAATGTAAAATTGGCCTATGGCGGTCCGAAACCCGTCTGCGAGCCGGGGCAGGCCCAGCCCGTTGACAATGTGAATATTCACATTGACATGTTAACATTCACATTAATAGGAGTGTAAAATTGGTCCGCGTCCCGTGGCAGCGCGAAACCCACCCGCGGCCCATGGGCGGCCCGGGGCGGGCTCGGTTCGAGCCGTTGACAATGTGAATATTCACGTTGACATGTTAACATTCACATTGATAAGAGTATAAAACTGGTCCGCGGCCCATGGGCAGCAAAAGCTCGCCCGCGGCCCGGCCCGGCCTGTTGACAATGTGAATATTCACATTGACATGTTAACATGCACATTGATAGGAATGTAGAATTGGCCCGTCGCCCGTGGGCTGCTCGAAGCCCGCCCATGGCCCGGGGCAAGCTGGTTTCGGTCTGGGGCCGGGCATGTCCGAGACCCTAGACTAGAGCCTAGGCCATCACTTTGAAGCCCGGCTCGGCCCATCGGCCCGCTTAAGGCCCATTCAAGGCTCGGTCTGAGGCCCAGCTCGCCTGAGGCACAATGTCTTTTTTTGTGGAAAATATAAAATTTTGGTAGAAAAAATTAAAAAGAATTGAAAAAAAATGGCCAGGCATGCCCAAGCCCGGCCTAAGCTCGAGCCTAGGCCTAGGCCCACCGGCCCGACCCAAGGCTGTCGTCTTCGGGCCGCGGGCCAATTTTACACTCCTATCAATGTGAATGTTAATATGTCAATGTGAATATTCACAATGTCACAGGCCGGGCCGGGCCCGCCCCGAGCAGCGGGCGGGCTTCGGGCCGCCCATGGACCGCGGGCCAATTTTACACTCCTATCAATGTGAATGTTAATATGTCAATGTGAATATTCACGTTGTCACGGGCCGGGCCGGGCTCACCCCGGGCCACCCACGGGTTTCGGGCCGCCCATAGGACGCGAGTCAATTTTACACTCTTATCAATGTAAATGTTAACATGTCAATGTGAATATTCACATTATCAACGGGCCGGGCCCGCCCGGCAACGGGCGGGCTTCGGGCCGCCCACAAGCCGAGCAGCCAATTTTACAGTCTTATCAATATGAATGTTAATATGTCAATGTGAATATTCACATTGTCACGGGCCGGACCGGCCTCGCCCCGGACCGCCCACAGTCCGCAGGCTAATTTTACACTCCTATCAATGTGAGTGTTAGCATGTCAATGTGAATATTCACATTGTACATGGGTCGGGCCCCTACACATCGACGATATGAACATTCACATTGACGGTGTGAACATTCACATTAGGGGTATATTGGTAATTATGTCACCCATAGGACTTATTGAAACATAAGAAAATAATATGAACTAAATAGAACATAAGTAGATGAAAATGGTATTTTAGTCTTCTTATCTCAAATAGGATCTAATGGAATAGTCAAAAAGAATATGAATTGGATGGAACATAAGTAATTAAAGATGGATTTATGGAAAAAGCTCCCTTAAAATTTCCATTAAATCTTTTTTAAAATATCTAACTTATTCAAAAAACTTCCTTTAACGAATCTACGTAAAAAATAATAATAATAATAATTTTCAGTCCATCATCTTCTACTAAATATATTAAAATTTAAGTAAAAAAAAAGTTTTTGAAAATTTAACTATGCCAAAAATTGATTTTTTTTTTGTTAAAAGTTACAAAAAGACATAATATGTTAAAATAATTAATAAGATAAAATATCTTTTCTCAGTGTACACATTTATTAATTTGGTTATTCATTATTCTTCTTATTTTAAACCCTTGATATTCTAATTGTACCCTAATTCATATCTTTTTACATGCCACCTAAACTATCATTCCACCCACCTTTACACATTTTGGTTTCCTCCTTCCACAGACCTCATGTATCAAAATGACCCAGGAAGAAACAATGAAGAACGAAGAAACAATAAAAACCCATTTGCAACTCCATTAAAGGTCCATTGACATCTATCTTCATTGATGACTCAACATTTTGACAACTACATTGAAGACCCTCCATTGCACTGTTAAAAGTAAGGGAATCATAATTTCATTTGCTGTTTACAATTCAATACATCAAAAACAATCTCTCTTACTTAAAAAAACACATCAAAATCACACTCTTGAATTTAACACTTATAGATAAATAGAATAGACTTGCAACGAAAATCTGAGTAAAATCATATATATATATACACTGATGGAATAAAGAGTGACCACACCATAATGTGGTGTGACTCACTTTACTCAATCTTCTCTCTCTTGAATTGTAAAAAACCTTCCCTCAAGAATATTGAAACTATCTGTTAGTTAGTTAATGGTTTGAATTCAAACATCAATAGACACAACTCTGAGTGAACCATGGTGGCTATTGTGGTATGAAACAAATTCAAATGTTATACCTATTCCTAAAGGTCACTTATTTGTATATAAATAAGTGACAGCAGGTTTGGAATAATTGACACATATATATATTTATGAACCAAAAGTTTACCATTTTATAACTTTCGGATAATCGACATTCTCGCGTGATAAACACCCTCACGGGTATTTCGATCAATTGCCATTGTTAGATTATCTTTCAGTGGTACCAGAGCAAGTTTGTACACATAATCGTAGATGTCGAATTGCAGTCCGGAAGAACGAAAATTTTCTGAAAAGTTTTTACCGAAAATTCAGAGTATAATCGGTCATCAATCTTCGGCTTTGGTGAATTCCGTTTGTTTATTTAATCATCACCAACGTATTGTATTTCCAGAAAACTATCCGAAGAAAATAACTGTTGGTGGTGCCATTGTTTCAAACCTTGCCGAAAGTGAGTCCGAATTGTATAGTTGGAAACAATTTTATAAAATATTTTTCGGTTCAAATTGTGTCTCCAAATTGGCACCATCTTGTTCTTCTCAGAATTTTGATCACAATGGTGAAATTCGTTGTGAAAAACGGCGAAGATTTGATCCTCAAAATTCGAATTTCAGTCTGTGGTCTCCAACTCCAGTTGCCGAAGAAGACGACTGGAATAATACCTTTGGAACCGTTGCAGCGTCTGAGTTGAATATAAATTCCATTGGGTCACATTCAAAAATTAAAAGAAAAGGCCCAAAAATAAGAGTAACTACAAGAAAATCAATTCCTTTGGGCTGCAAAATTAAAAAGACATTTTTTGGGCCAATTCAGGAATCGGCCCAAGTCAATCAGAAGGAGCCCAGCAGCCCAAGGCCTCAAGGATCACCCAACCCAGCGGCGCAGCCCAGCGTGCGCCCAGATTCGTGCGTCGACCTAGCGCCCAGCACACCGCGCCCGGACCTGCATCCGCCTGTTCCGCACGACCCGCGTGCTGACCCGCGCCTTGATCCGCGCGTTGACCAGTGGTTTACGCCGGTTTGGTCTCAGCCGGTCCAAACCGGTCCAGCATAGTACTTAGACTGGCAGCAGCTTGGTCCAATCGATTTTTTGGCTCGTTCTCGCTTATTTCAAGGCCGTTTTCAGTCATTCAAAAGCCAAAATTTCCAGAATTATTCTAAGAATTTTTCCGTGGATCGTTGTACTAAATTTTCTGAAAACAAAATTCGAGGAGGAGGCTATCCCAGGGTGTTTCCAAGGAAAACATCTAAAGAAACATTGTTTAAAAGGCACGATTGTGTTCCTTGGGCTCGTAACTATTATTACAATACTCATAAGCAAAGTATTGAGTCTACAACTACAAGGTAACAGTACCGTCCATTCCTTCACATCATTTTCATCATCGGGGCCGATTCAACAACTACAAGGCTTATCCTTATTAAGACCTGTTATTGTCTTTAATTTTGCTTATTTTTATTTTTAGTTTAATATTGTAATATTCACATTTGAAAGTTTAATATTCACATTTGAATTTTCATAGTAACACATTTTGTTTTTAATATGACTATTAAAAATACAATGGATTCTTCAAGAATCGAGATGCTTAATGGAAATAATTTCCGAGTATGGAAACGCCACATTTCTTATCTTCTTACACATGAGAAAAAATTGCATACTTTATCCACTTCTAAACCAGATGATGATTCTAATTGGTTTCAAAATAAATGGATAGAAGATGATGCAATGGCCAAGGCAACTATGTTACATAATATGAAAGATAACATTATTCCGCTCTTTGAAGAATATGAAATTGCAAGACAACTAATGGAAGCACTAGAAAGTAAGTATGGAGTTCGATCGGATACTCAAATTCAATTGCTCTTGGACAAATATAATAACACTCGTATGAGTGATAATGATAGTGTTGGAGATCATGTTAATCAAATGAAATTAATTGCTAAAGAATTATCCAACGCTGGTCATTCTTTGTCGGACAAGATGGAAGTAACAACCATACTTAATAGTCTTCCATTGTCTTAGGATCATGTTATCACATCTCTAATTCATAGCGGACGAGAGATTTCAATGGTAACATTGCCTGTACTTTTAGTTTTGGAAGAAGAAAGAATGAAGCGCAGGCGTAAAGAAGGATTGTCTTCTAACTTGTTGATGGCACAATCTTCACCACAACCACAGAATAATACCCACACACCATTCAACAA